GCGGCAGGTGGCAGCTTCCAATGGAGCAGAATGCTAGCTTTCGTCTTGTTATCCCAACTCGTTAAGTTTTATGATTTCTAGAAGAGGTCATGGAGAGGAGCCAAACAAACTAAGTGTAGTTACCTCTTTCTCTTCCGTATCGGGCTGCTTTATAATTAATGTTCACTTTGGGGTTCGTTGCTATAATCCTTTATCTTATTCATCAACCCTGAAGTGAAAGTCATTTCATGACTGACCCCTTACAAAACTTTGGAAGTGTAGTTCATAGAAAACATAGGTCAGTTCAACTCTCTGAAACTCAATTTCTTCTTCCATAAAATGGGAATATGCATACATGTATTGGGTACATCTTCAGTAGCTTGCTGAGATGAGCAAATGAGATGTGATAAAATGGGGCCGTAAGATTTAGCAAGTAAAAATACAAGGTGCTCACTTAAATTTGAATTTCAGATAAACCATGAAAAATTTTTTAGTATTGGCACGTCCCATTTGGTATTATTCATGGTTTATCTGAAATTCAAATTCAAGTGAGCATCCTGCATTTAATTTGGTAACCTTAGTATGTAAACATGTTTACTGTTTTGCTAAGATGGGACAAATGTTATTCGGTATAATGCTAATGGCATTTTCATACAGTTACAATTGTTCATGTCTTTTGAATAACAACTGCACTGCCAGCTTTGATCAGTATTAAGTCTCACAGTGGCTGTGTCCCTTTCGTGATGAATACCTAGAGTTTACAGTTTGTGAGATAAACTACAAATACCTGACACTCTAATCTGTGCCCATGACATAAATAGAAGTGGACATTTTCATGAAAAGGCAAATATTACGAGAGCGCCAACACCATGTCCATTCTGTGTGTCCCGCAGTTGGTGCCGATTCTGTGTTCCCACGTTGTGTTCTCCTCCTCTCTGTCTGGGGAGCAAAGCTGCAACTGGCAGCAAGTGCTGTTTTTTTTTTTTTTCTTTGCTGATCGCAGAATGTTAATGATTAAGAAGGTTTTATGTATTTCTGGCAGATATTTTTTCCTGCAAATGATGTTGATTAGAGGATTGAATTTCAGATGTGTAAAAGGTGTGTGTGGTTTTATTTCCCATGGCAAATTTTCAGAGTTAATATTTTGTTGGATGAAACTAATTACAGTGATTTTCTTTATTCATGTTTAGTTTATGACACTTTAGGTTGATTTCCGGCCATATTAGGGAAATACATGTTTCTTGTATTTCTTGTTAGTCACCTTCACGCAGACTAACTCCCGCTAAAGATCATGAATGGGGAAAGTATTAATCGGCGCTCTTTAGCAAATACAGGAGTAATAATGACATTCTCATTCCAGTCCAGGGTGGCCACTCTTCCTTCCCTCCCTTCCTCTCTCTCCTTCCTTCCCTCTTTCCCTCCTCACCTCCCTCTCTCCTTCCTTCCTTCCTCCCTTCTCTCATTCCTTTAGTCTTTCACCAGCACGTATTTACGAAGCACCAAATCTCTACCAGCCCTAACAGTAGCCACTAACATACATCAGAGAACAAAACTGACATAATTCCTGCCTCCATGGAGCTTAAAATGAAGTGTAGAAACCACAAAACAAGTAAATCAGTGGTTAAAACTATGATAAGTATCATAAAGTAAAAAACAACAAAATATAAATAGCTTTGAGGGTTTGATCAGGTGGCATGTTGCATGCTCTTATATCAAACAGATGTTGGTTTTTTGGGTTCTCTTTTATAAGCCAGGTTCTGTCTTTTTGCCTCTGAAAGAAAAACGGCATTGTCATTTGTCACCTCAGGCAAAGGAACTGCTTGCAAATGATCCGGGCAGTCCCAGGCTCTTGGTGCTACAAGTGCTTCCTGGTGGCTGATAGCTGGCGCACAGGCTCAGGTGAGGGTGGAGTCAGAGGTCAAGAGGGGCCAGGTCCAGCACAGCCCATGGGTGACACAGGCCCTGCTGTAACCTCAGAGAGCCTTAGGCAGGAGAATGGGGTCATCAGTTGTGTGTCCTGAGGCTCTAGACTCAGTGGGGAGAGAACAGTGAGTTCTGGAGAGTCCAAGTGGGATAGGAGCTCTAAACTCAGGTAATGGGAGTGTGAGGTGACAGGAGGTGGTGGGTGAGGACTAGGCGAGCCTTGGATGGGGAAAGGAGGGCCCAGTCCTCAGCATTGGGGTCAAGGTGCTACCCTTCCTGAGGTGAGGTCACAAGAGGTGGGACAAGCTGGTGGGAAGCACGGTGAGTCCCGACAGGCCTGTTGAGTTTGTGGCGTCACACCCCCTCTCTGGGGTTCAGCAGCACATACAGGGCCCGCAGTAGGCAGGGAGACCCCGGCTGTGAAGACAGACCCCTGAGGGTCACCACGGGGAGGTGAGAAGACTACGGCTCCGAATGTGTGAGCTCAGAGCAAGGGCACGGTGCGGGCAGGGGAAGAAAGGCTGCAAGGACACAGGGAGGGTCCCCGGATGCTGAGCCTGATGCCAAGGGAAGGGTTTTTTTTGGGGGGGGGGCTCCTCACATGACCCGATGCTGCAGAGTGTGAAGGAGACACGGCAGAGCCACGGACCGCGGACCCGCACAGGAGCCCACGCTGAGCGCCCTTCTCTGAAGCGCCAGGCCCTGCGGTGTCGTTAGATCCCATCAGCTGGAGAATGAGGTGCAAGGTGTGCAGACATCGCTCTGAAAGTCTGTGATCAGTGGTGGCTAACTCTGTTAAGTCAATTCATGAAAGAGGCAATTTTAAGTCAACTTTTGAAATTGGATTCTTTGCACAATCGGTTAAGAATTTGAAGTGCGTATGAGCATATTGACATTTGGATTATTGTTAATTTGGGCAGGTTTCTCAAGTGATAATCCATGAACAAAATAAATAATAAACAGCAGGAGTCTTTGTTAGACTCTTGAATAGGAGTTAGTTCTGTAACCTGTGTTTCCCATGCCACGCTAGGCTGGTAAAAAAAATAGTGTGACAGTGTGACAGCAGCCACAGCACAGCGGGGTCCCAGCTGGGTGCCCCTGCTCTGCCCCAGCCCACCCCCACCCCTGAACTGCCGTAAGAGCTTCTGTTCCCCCCAGGGTCTCCCACGCACGCTCTCACAGGAGCCTGGCTGCTGCTGCTCCCTCCTAACCTCTGGTGTGGACGATGGCCCCTCTTGCCACTAGGTCCCAAAAGGTGGCCACAGGATCTATGCACGACTCTGCTTCGTAGAAGGCTGACACCTCCATCTGCTGGCACCTGGTGGAGACCTCCTCTCAGGGCCTCATGACGGAGACTGAAGTCACATTCCCCGAAGCTGCCTTCTTGTCCCTGTCGCTGTGCTGGTGCTGTGTCAGCTCACTGATGCTTTGTGCTTCCTCAGGCAGGAAGACCCAAGACAAGCTTAGGAACTGTGGTCTCCATGTCAAAATTAAGTTGAATTTTAGAGTAAAGACATAATTTTTTTCTTACACACTTATTTTCTGTGAGCTGTGAATTTGCTGAAATATCTGCTGGTTTACTCCACGGCTGTCCCCTTCTCTTCTCTCTCCCCCTCTCGCTCTCCTGCACACAAACAGGACAGGCACCCTCCGTGACAGCAGGTACTGAGATTTTATCTTCCTAGCATAGAGCTACTTCACTCTATGCTTGACCTTTTTCAAAAGTAACGCGTTTAACTAGCTAGCTTAATGTGAAATTAAGCAATTGTCTGCTAATTCTGTATACATAATTATTCAGCTAGTTCACAATCAATAAATGTTCATTAGAGATATTTCAGATATACATTTTTAATAAATCTGGGCTAATATATGTCTGCATAGTATTTTATCTTTAAATGCAAATAGCAGCCTGAGTCTCTAAGGACTTTCACAGAGATAGAAAAATTTAAAGTATTTTTTGTCCAAAGTCTTTTGCGATTCATTGTTTGGTAGAAGACCTTGAAGCCAAAGATTCTTGAGTTTACTTGTGATTATATAATAAGTTCTTAACGTCATTTTCTATGTTTGCAAAATAAGATTTGTGATGATGTGTTGAAACTGAGGATCATGGTGGATTTTATTCAGTTAGTACGTTCAGGATGACTGCAGGAACTTGGCCGTGAATCTCAGAGGCGCTGCTGGGAGGCTGGGTATCACGCCCTGGGCATGCAGGCCAGCATTGGGGTGGGGCATGCCACAGGGCACCTGGGAGAGCAGTGCAAGTTTCAAATCTGCGTCCCTGACACAGGTGCTGGCTGTGCTGTGCCCCCCATTGGTGTGCTGAAGGGTTCCACATCCACAGATGCCTGTCTGGGAAGTCTGTGCGCTTTAGGGGAAGCTCACCCTCGGGCAGTGCTAATAGTCAAACTTACAAATATATGTATAAACACCCTGGGAGCAGGAAACCTGGGAACAGGGGTAGGGGCTTGGATCAGGTCAGAATCAAATGTTCAGAAGCACAGAAGAGAAGAATTAGGGGAGTTGAGGCCAAGAAAAGCATTGCAAAGAGCAAGCACTAGAGAGAGAGAGGGAGAGAGAAGGCAGACAGAGGAGGAAGAGACGGGGAGGCTTTTTTTCCCGGGGCGGAGGGAGGAAGGTGCATCGCGGTTGTCCTGATGTTTGTGGTTGCCTGTCACATGGTGTCTTCCCTGCTGGGCATTGATGTTAACACCTCTGATACCGGGACTCCAAGACCGTCCTATGAGGATTTCTCCTTCCTGGCATTCTCCACAGGTGTCACAGAGCTTGCTTCTTCACTTTCTCGATCTCTAGACTTGCAACTGGAAGAGGCCAATGGTAGACAATTAGTTCGCATCCCTGGCTATGTGACAGCATCACAGGAGGACTCTAAGAAATCCTGGACCCTGGGACCCATATGCAGTGCTGCTGGTTGAATCTGTCTAGAGTGGGGCCCGGGTGTCCTGTTTTTGAAAGGTGCCCAGGTGACTGCACGAGCTGGAGATCCATCCACTGCTGGCACGCGGCACGCTCTGCTTAACCCGGGAGTGGCCTGTGAGACCTGCTGACCTCATTTCCTTCTCTCCCTGTGGCCTTTGCAGATTACGGCACCATTAAGAAGGTGCGGGCGCCCCTGAATCAGACCTCAGGCAGCTGTTTGCTGGAAGAGATCGAGCTCTTCCCCGAGGGGCGGCGGGAGCCCGTCCGGAGCCTGCAGATCCTCCACAGCCAGAGCGTCCTGTTCGTGGGCCTGCTGGGACACGTGGCCAAGATCCCCCTGAAGAGGTGCCAGTTCCACCGCACGCGCAGGTAGGGCGTCCCTGGGGCTGGGACGCGCTGGGCCTGAGATGGGCCCACCCAGAGACTGGGCACAGGAGCCCGAGGCTCCAAATCCCCTGAGGCTGATTAGCCTCTGGATCTTCGTTCTGCGAGGTCCTGCCTCCCAGGTGCAGAGTTCTCCTGCTCCTGATTTACTGTGATGAGAATAACCTGCCCCTTCTCCATGCAGGAGGAGCTGCGTTCTAACGTCTGCAAGGGGGCGTCAGGGTTGTAATAAATTATTCAGTGCATTAGAATACTTGGTGATAATGCTGATATTTGGTGTTTCTGAGTTAATCTATTAATCTGGCACAGGTTATATTTTATCTGAATATAGATATAACAAAAAATATGATAAAGAGTGTGTCCTCCTAGGCCAAAGCTCTTATGCTGAAAACCCCCTGAGAAGAAGGAATGATGAATGTTGATGCTGCGGTACCCCCTTTCCTGGGCATTCCCACCCTGTTGTCCTTGAACCAGCTCCCTTGGGGTGCTGCCCCCCTCCTAAAGTTGCAAGGGGGTAGTGAAAGGAATTCCAGCAGGCACAGGGGAACACAAGGGCCATTGTGCCTTCCCTCACCCCCAGCTAGTCTTCCCATCTTCTGTGGGGCGTCCACTATGGACCACAGTGGTGTTTGAAGCTTAATTTGGAAACATAAAAGCCCGGGTGCTTAGGAAACAGAATAGTACTGTATACACCATACACTCGGAAAGCGCTTTAATGTTGGAATTGCATATGTACCCTGGCCCCTGACAAAAGACTGCCCTTGGGGAAATCATAATCTCAAACTTTCTCAGGGATCCATACTCTTGTTTAATTCCCCAGAGCAGTGCATACTTGCAGATTTGGTATAGAAATGGTCTTTTTTGACATATTACTCACAAATACCTACCATACACAGGCCCCTCTTTCTCTAAACTAGGTGCTTGATGCCATCAGCTTTGGAACTTACTATAGAAGCTGCAATTCATTGTACAGTCCTATTCTTGCTATTTCTTGATGCTAGTCACTGAAGTACTTCTGAATTCACTTTCTCACCTAACACATGTGAACTGCTGTAGAATCATATGGGATAGTATGTAGAGCATAAAATTTAAAGCACTGTGCAAAGTTGGTATTTTTAGGTAGAAGGAAAGGTCTTATGTGGAATCACTACAATATACCTTTTGAGATGATTCTAGAAAATGAAGTGTATAATATAATGCCTCCTTTGGTATCAGAGAGAGTTGAGGAATAATGTTAGGAATCTCCCAGCTATAATAATAATAATGCTATTGTGAGCATTGATAATACATAGTAATATTTTCTAGCAGCCATCTTTTATATATGTCTATTTCCTAAATTTAACTAATGGCTGCTTGAAATTGTTCTGGTTTGTGTTCCCTGCAGGATTAGTGTAGGGCAGGAATTATTCTTCCCCAGTTACTAATGGTTCCGTGAGTGATGGGGAGGGCTGAGGTCTGGCCAACAGGATGTCACAAGTTGGAATGCATCTGGAAGGGCACAGCCCAGTGAGCTCTGACTTCTAATGATGACTTCTTTGGAGATGACACAGGACAGTACAGAGGAAGACACAGGCCTGTCTAGAGGGTGTTTCTGGTGCCAGAACGGGAGTGTATGGCTTGCAGAGCACGCAGCCATTTGCCCTTTTCATTGTGCCCTGCTTTACTGAGTCTGGGTTGCAATAGCTCAGCTCCTTGTACGTGCCACTTAGGAAACCAAGTCTGGCATCAGGTCGGCGAAGAGAGGTGTGGTGTGGCTGGTGTCTCTCATACAACTGCACTTCAAGCCCAGTTACAAATCCATAGGAGCCAGTGCCACCAGGCACCGAGGCCCCAGAGGAGTTCAGTTTCCTCTTTTCTTTCAGGGAGAATAAGGCCCCTTGTCTGTCTTCATCGGGCTCCTGAGAGGAGAGAGTTTTACATTTATATCTGGAGCTGAATCTCCCTGCTGTTCACTTGTCCACCTGCTCAGAGAAAAGCAGTGAGAAATTATGACATCATTGTCAACTGATAGACTGCAGTCTTCTGTGCTCCCGCACTCAGAGGGGGTTAGTTTGTGTTTGACCCTTTAATATTCCATTGAAATAGAGAAAATCTATTTCAACCCAAGTGTTTCTCTGAATTCTTTCCAATGTTTAGCTCCACTCTCCTCCTCCTGTAGAAAGACAGGAAAGCCTCCCCACTTAACACGCCTCGGAGAAAAGAGTCTTCTGTTAAAAACTAATAGCCGTATGACCAGTTTTTTAAAATGAATTACAGGGAAAGACAAAAGCAATTTTAATTTTCCAGAAATATGCCTGAGGAAGTACACCTGATAGGACTAGGATAATAATTGGATAGCAATTGGATGCTAATTTCTTTGCCAACTATACTTCCCATAGTAGAATATCAGCAATTTTATTTATTATTGGACAACCAAATTTCTAAATAAATTTTGAAATATTCAGAAAGATAAATTGATCTTAATTAATTACTTAAAATATTCAATAAAATAAATTCACTTAATTAAATTGATTGAATTACCTGTCTCCTTCAAAATCATATTTACGTTTTAACATTTCTTGAATATCTCTTTTTCAAAGGCAATGCACAATGGCATCTATTAAAACGTTTATGAATGATAAAAATTGATACAATTGCACAAATTTCTTTTCCATGTCTGGCACTGTGCTAGATTTTATTACTGTTCTCCTGAATCATTATGTCAACCCTGCAGGTAAAGTAGCATTATCATCTCCGTGGTTCAGATGAGGAGATGGCAGCTCAGATTTTTGGTGTCCTTCCCAAGATCACGTAGCTCCTGAACATGAGATTCAAGTCAGAGCTGGGCCTGTCTGGCCCCAAGGCCCATGTTATATTTTTGGTTTGATTCTCTGCCCCTGGTACTGTGGGTGTCGCCCTCTCTGGTCAGATTTCGGTGGAAGGAGCTGCTTGGTTGCACTTTCCATGTGTGCTGCAAGGGGAGAGAGCACTTAGTACGTGGTCAGGCAGAGCCCAGGTCTCCTGACGGCTGCTCAGGGCTCCTTCCTAGTAGCTGCTGCTTTATTCTGCTTGCCACAGGCTGGATCAAGCAGACGGGAGGAGGTTTTGTACTGTGTTCCTGAAGCTTTCGAGATGAATCTCCATTCTTCTCTTATTCTCAAGAAGCTCCCGGGACCCCAGGGCACTGACCAAGCACCTGCCTGCACTGTCTGCAGTACCCTCATATCGTGACTCTGAATGAACAGTTTTTCCCTTGGAAAATTATTTTATAAAATAATATTTACTTCCTATTGTACATACCTAATGGGTACAATGTACACTATCTGGGAGATGGGTACACTGATAACTTTGTATCAAGTAGTACAAAAGCAATCCATGTAACCGAAGCATTTGTACCCCCCTAATATTCTGAAATTAGAAAAAAAAGAAAAGAAACACTGGAGAATCCAAATAAAGCCTATGGTTTAGCTTTTAAAAAGAAGAACAATATTTAAAAATTATATTTTAGTCAATTTTAACTTCAAAATGAATAAAAAATGTTTTAGCATTTGTTGGCATAGCCATTTAATAAATAGGATGACAAAACTGTTCCAGTGATAAAGCCAGCTCATTGGAGTTGGTGGTTGCCTCTGGGCATGTGAAATGCAGGAGGTCCTGCTACAATTCAGGCATGTCCTTTTTGACTCTAGGACTCACTGGACTCATTGAGCGACAAGTGTATAAGTCTCATGAAGTGAGTTGACGCTTGCTGAGTTTTGAAGAATGTGGGCAAGGCTGATAGGAGTCCAGTGTAAGACAAGGAAAGGCAGGGAGGCTGACCTCTGGGGACCGCCTCATGTGCAGCTGGCTCAGTCTGGGCTCCGCAGTAGTATCTTGTGACCTGTAATGTGGGAAAAGGTCTCCATGGAAGGCACAGGATGGGGCAGCCTAGAGCAGCCACTCACTTAACCCCCCCTGGGGTAAATACCAACGTGAAGTCAGAATCGGCCACTAGGAGGGAAACGAGACTCTGGCAAGGAGCTCACAGAGTCCCCATCTCACTGCCCCAGGAAGAACAGAATGACGGCAGGACGTGGGCTTTAATTATCATGTCTGAAAATCAGTTTGTTATTTTCCTCCCAAGAAAATACCATAGGCTTCTAAGTGGTAAGACTGATTGCAGCTCTTCAAGTCTAAGCAAAGGAAAGCGTGGGGTATGATGAGGGGAGGGCTTTGACGCAGACTTTTAAAGTCACTTTAAGGGTTTGTGTTGATGGAATCGGTGGGTCACCACATTTTCTCTGCAAAGGGCCAGACAGAAAATATGTTAAGCTTTGCAGGTATATGATCTTTGTTGCAATGACTCAACTCTTTCCTGGTAGCAGGAAAGCGGCCACAGACCATAATGAATGGGCATGTCTGTGGGTCAGGAGAGGCTGACGATTGATCTGGTAAAGAAACAAAGATCCACTATCAGCTTCAGAAAGTTTATTACTTTCACAGTGAAAGTAAGAGCAGGAAAGGTGTCAGCTCCCCGCATCCCTTGTCCCACAGGATGACACCAAAACAGTTGTAGAGTGGGGTGAAGGTGGGGGCAGAGCCTTTAACTTCATCAGAGCCTGGGGAGCAATGGGCAGCTCCCTTGTGACGCCTCCCCGGGACACAGGGAGGTGGGAGGAATGGCCTGTTGCAGCTCCTTGTAATCCTGCCACGTTGCAGGATTGTGGAGGACCGTGGGCTGTTCTGCCGAAACTTAGGCCAGCTGTGGCAAAGCTGCAGGCCTTGCCCTGTGGCCGCTGTGGAATCATGAACAGTCTCCAGGGCAGAACTTTCCCCAACACTGTGTTTCTGTAACAATTTAGGTGACAGACTGGAGTTAGCCCATGGGCTGTAGTTTGCTGACCCCTGAATTAGATTCTCATATGCCTTTTGAATGAATGAATGTCCTTTAAATATACACCAATTTATAAATTAGCTATTAAATGTATTATTAAGTTACATAGATTAACTCTATACCCTAATATTTT